TCAGACATAAGGTAACATAAAAAAGTTGCCAAGGCCAAGACATCTATGTTTGATATAAACTTGAAGCATGTTAATTAACGATGAAAAAGTTCAAAGGGGAAATCCAACTTATTTAGATTAATTCTATTACTCCTCATAAGAGATCAAACACACAGTTTTGTTTCTTACAGATTAAATTAAAATCAATCGAGTACCAGCCGATTTCACTAGATAAAGGTTCCGTATTTTTTTTATATCTATCTGTATGTTTATGACTCAAATAATCATAAACTAAAAAATATAAAAATCATTGAAATATGGAAACAAAATCTACACTGTACCACTTTACCAGTAATCTCTTCAGTGTAAGATATTGATTTTTTTTTATTTCTAGACTAGAACTATCGAGGCCAGACAAAATAATTGATGGTAACATAGGAAATGCGAAGTCCAGTATTCTTAACTCCAACATTACTTGGATCTATCCGAGTCCTTTTCAGGGTTTCGTACCAAAAAGATATAAAGGAACCCATATGGTACGATTTTGTACTTCTGTCACCCCCTACTCCCACATTTAGACTACAACATGGTGTTCTTCAAAAAGGGAGTATAGTAACGCGCGCGTAATACCTCTGGTATTGCAGGCGTTCATAGGCAACGGTAACCGCTTACCATCAGGTGGGCCGTATGCTTGTTTGCCACCTCAGTGGTATAAAAAAAACCAAGAGATTCAGCATATACTGCAGATTAGATCAGGAAGCCTTCACAAGATTCTACATGTGCATCTACGGGTGCGGAGGATAGTTTCACGCTGGGTGCCGCACAACCTTACCGTTCAAAAGTAGGCAAAGGTAGAATGGTGCCATGATATGATAGACAAATTTGAAGCAGGATCGTCTCAGCGTGTTAACATCGTTTCGGGTGATGAATCCTGGATTTATCAATACGATCCACAAACAACGCGCCAGTCAATGGTTTGGGTGTTTCAAAACGAATCAACGCTTTTTTAATTTGACTGGCTACTTGGTGTCAATTCCTTTACGAAACCAAATAAGCATTAACGCAGAATAGTATACTGCCAAGTGCTTGACAGAAGCTTTTTCTGTTGTGAGCAACAAGCGACCAAACACAGGGCTCCGCAGGCTACTGCTCCACCACGATAATGTGCCCGTCCACACCGCAATCAAGACGGAGGACTTCTTAGACAGCACACCGGTCGAACTCCTGGGTCACCCTCCATACAGCCCTGACCTAGCACCGTGTAACTTCTTCTTATTCCCAAAAATAAAAAAAATCAGCTCAAAGGAATACAATTTTCGTCGCCGGTTGATGCGCTCTCAGCGTTGCAGGCAGGCTGTAAACGAAGTGTCTGCGGTGGACTAGAAAAAGTGTTTCGAAAACTGGTTCAGACGCATGAAATTTTGTATAGAGGCTGGTAGAGAGTACTTTGAAAAGATGTAATCGAAATATATTTACCTATAGAATATTTTTTTTAGTGTCGCAAAACTTTCTGGGTGCCCCACGTATGTGTGTGACTGCCAACACTACATGATTGACCTACTACACTACTTGATCTTCCATATTACCTATCAATCTTTGATAGCCGTTTTGTTCACGCATCTTTTGCGACACATGTTTCACCTCTAAACGACGCATCTTCAGGCAATTTATTAGATCGCTGCTTCTACTAACTCGTTGATCAGGTTTGACGTTCCCTTTATGTATTCATAGATATTAAAGAACCAAATAAAGTCAGATGTTCAATTTTGTGACATTACTGTATCACTATATTAGGGTAATTTATTAGTATAATCATTATAAATTCATCATTAAAGGATGCTTTAGGATGTGCTCGCAAATATTCATTGTTTGGTGTTAGGATATTCGAGTTTGCGGACTATTAAATATTTTTTTCTTATAATCTTGTTACTTTGCAAAAACTATTTATTTTCTGAGAATATCAATATCTTATATTTAAGGAAAAATACACACAGTCAGATTGTCTAGTGACGTAAAGGTCTGTTTAGTTTTCTCATAAGATTTATTATCATATTGTCCGAAGAACCTGCAAATCTAATACCATACCCGTTTCCGAAGTGTCTTATTTAATTCAATTTCGACCTATTTGTCTATAACAATAAGAACAAATTGCTAGAAATACAATCGCATTGAAACTGTGTAACTTCAACGTCCATATTGCTGATTGTGGCAAGGCCATGATGGTACTTAATACAGAACAACACACACTGCCTTGTGTAGTGTGTGTTGATATAGTTTTCCAGGTTTGTAGCATCTCAAGAGGTCAGTCGGCTCGGAACTATCAAGGTCTCGCTCAATGATTAATACGCTCTAAGGTGCAGTCACAATGAACGTGACGGATGATTAATGAGGAAACCTTGTGATATTAATTGTTAACCGATTTCAAAAAGGAGAAGCTTTTCTATTCATCGGGCATTGTTTTTTATGTGTATATCATGTGATACCTTTAACTGATTTTAATGATTTTGTCTTTAAGAGTTCATAACAATTTTTTTTTTTCAATGTTTCTGATTGATTATTTAAAAAGTGCTCTGTTAGCAAACTAAAATATTATTCATGCAAAAATTTTCTTATTGAACTATCACGGAAAATTTGCATTGAAAAACTCTGAAGAAGAAAATATATAATAGGTGTAAAGTTTCTAGTAGAAGATAAATCTTCTATAATATAATGCAATGTATGATGAATGATTGACAATGAAAATTGTTCATGTGTTTTTGAGAAATGACAGATACATAATTGCGACGTTGCCACACTTTGATAAACAAAAGATATGAACGCTCTTAACCGAAAGGATTTATTTCTGTGTCGGTATACGTGTAAACAAAGGTGTAAACATATAGAATCTAGGTTCACGTAGATTTCTTGGACAAATCGTAAATTTTATAAACTAAATATAAAAAAGAAAAAGGTCCGAATAAATCTAATCTTTTACGCTTAATATCCGAAGGATAAGTGGAAAAAGAGACCGACGACTTGAAGTGAAACATTAATTGGATGTTTCTGTAGTTTTTTCTTTCTGTAGTTAAGGACAAAAAGTTCTTAGATAGCGAAGTAAAACGGGTACAGACATGATGTAAGGTACGAAAACTAAACTTACAAATATTCAGCACTTTAAATACTTTTTTAGCTGTTTATGTTTAGTGTTTCTTCTATAGATTTGTGTCGTATGATAAAAATATATTTTTATGTTCAATAAATTATAAATATATTTAATAAAAATAAAAATCAAATGCTAAATAAGTGCATAATATCGCGCTTGTTATAAATAAAAAAAAAACTAATTATTTGTTTATGACGACAATCTATTGATTTTCATTAACAATACTTACAATGAAATAAGCGTAGGTCTGGTTGAAAATTATGACTGATACTAATCGTATCTTGTGACTTTACTCGCGTATATTGGATATCCTATTTTTAAGTTACAACCTATCTGTTAATTAATTTCATTCAAGTGCACTTAGTTGTTTATTCATGTAAGAGTAACAAACTCCATGCTCACAAACTGTGAAACATTTTTAATAGTAGTTGGATATTTGGTAATGCCTCTTTAATCACTAACTACTGTGTCATAATGGATTTAAATTTTAATTATGTACCATAATTGGCGATTTTGAGAACTTTGAGCTTTATGCATATTTTTTTTTATGTTATTATTCTAAATTGCGATGCATTTTCTTCGCACCGATGCTCCGGATCTGGTATGTAAAAGGTTTTCTTTAAAGATGCTTAAAAATGGTATGAGCCTCGGTCCAGTTAATGTGTCCTATTATAATATACGAGTATATAAAAGGACTACCTTTTTTATTTAATTTAACAAATATTGTCTTACAATTTGGCTTTTTTACTGACACGAAATATATCCAAATTTTATATGTAATTGCAACTCTAAAATAAACATGGTAGTGTATAAACGTTACATTGTTTATTGACATTGTATGGGGTAAAGAAACCTTTAACCATAGTTTTACAGAAAATATTTTTAGTCGAGTTAAAATTCAAGAAAATAAATGAACTGATGAAAAAAAAATATTTAACTTAGTAAATATATTTTTTTTAATTTCCCTTTATTATAATGGTAATTTTTGAAATTCTTTTATTTACTGCATAATAACTGAAAATATCTATCTTATACTTTGTGCACTTATTGTATTGTTCACAAAAACATACCAATAAACCTAGATTTTATAATTTTAGTCAATTCTTATGTCAATAGTTACAAGTTTATGACAGAAATCGCATAAGTCACATGAGCGTAGACAATTTGAGTACGAATTACGATTGCAACGTAATCGCATCGCAAATTGTGTTAAGATTTAACTTATTGCATGTAGTAGCAGCACGGATACGTCAGATATGAACGTCAGATACGATGCAGTTTTTTAGTATGGAATGTAGATAATACGTGACGTGAATGTAATTTCATATCGTGATATTAAGTGTGCTGAAGATAAATTACAATTATTTTTACTAATGATTAACACGTAACACATGCAATATCACGCAGTTTCTATCAAAGTCATTTTGATAATATGTAAGCATCAATAAGTTACTTCACTATCACTTCTTTTTAATTGAAATTCCTAAGAAAGTATTACTGACGTGATGACAATAAAGAAATAGGTATTATTAGTAAATAATCTTTTTAAAGTAAGGTAACTTCCCCAAATTACCGCAAGTTCAGTAAAACGTATACTAAATTTAAAGTTAAAAATGGTTTTATTTGTTTAGCTCTTTACTTTTTTACTTTTTTTCTGATTCCTTGGAAAACATAATAATAGTTTACATTAATTTGATAATTACCAATAAAATTAATTTATTATTATAATTACCATAATAATTTGTTATTTTTACAATGTAGTTATGATAGTATAAAATATTATTGTATGGTATTTGAGTGTTTTATCTCGTTTTAATATAATTATACATTTTATTACGTTGATAGCAATTTCTGTAATATAATAAAAGTTGGTACTCACTTGACATTATTTCTCATGTTGAAGTTTGTTGAAATATACTCTGCGTCCCCACTGAAAACAATAGAAGCTGTTATTAATTAAAATCATCAATATTTTTAAACACTTTATATTACATTGTCATTCAATAGTAGAAACTAAAGTTAATAAAGCTATTAAGTACTTCGATTATTAATAACGAGACTCAGAGCGTACACAAAATGCAATGCAAAACGTGTATGTATGCATACATTAAAATATCATAGAAATCGACGTTGAGGGTCAATTAAATTAGGAATCAAAGGAAACTCGCACTGTTCACAGTTGAATTGTATTTTTCGGTCACAGTAATTTGTGATTAAAAGAATGCAATGCAATATCCCTTGGCCATACTATTAAAATGACAATAGCAGTATTGGTCACGCAACAAGAACGGCCCGTCGATTGTCTACTATCGTTCAGTCTCACACCTGTCCGAGTTTTATTAGAACTGTTAGGCTGAATAGTGCCACGTTCAATTACAAAATATTACCTAGATTGAAAAATTACATTATCATTTAATTAAACATCTCTTATCTACCCGGGCTGAGTGCGTTCTTAGTTTGTTAACTGAGAATACGCACGTGATGCACATACGAGTATGCACGCGCGTCCTTCTGTGATGTTACACGGAAGGATTCCAATAATTTAATACCGTTTAAACAGATGCTGTAACTGCACGAAGGTACTTTGCTTTCAAGTTTTGACGCCTAAATGACATTAGAATAGAAATTCAAGATGCAGGTTCCTAAATTATTATAATATAAATATAAATTTAGAAAATTAACATAAGCTGCATTTTGAAATTAAATTGAAATTAAAATAAATTATTGACTAGAAAATTGCAAACGTGTTTAAAATATTTGTTTTTATTTATTTATTTTAGACTTTATTGTAGATACTAATAATACATAAAAAATATGACAGAGATAAGCAAATGCTTATGTTAAATATTATTATTCAAATATAGAATTCAACATAAATTACGGAACTGTCATTGTTTTACGATGCTGTCGCTCGAGATAATATTTTTAAAAGGGTTCAGTGCGGGAGAGAATTTACTTTTTTAACATCAAATATAATATAAGAAAAGAACAAAACGTTTCTTGCATTTTGTTTAAGTAACTGTTTATTTAATTGTAATAAAGACGACAATGTTATTGTATTATTTTGAGCCGAAGGTTACGAAATTGAAAATCAGCCTACACAAATCACTATGTTGAAAAAGTGAGAGGTGTAAGTTTTGGCTTACAGAGTATTATTTGTTTATTTTGTCAAAGGGAGAATAAATAATCAAAGACTAAAATTGGAATTAATTACAACTCCTGTAAATAATACCGAAAAAAGTCTTGTTTAAAATTGAGTAGTTAAAACCTAGTTGAAATTTTAAGTTTAATTTACATAGTTACCTATAATCCTAAATTTTTTACGTTACTGTGTCATAATATTTGTTTTATTGTTCCTAAAATTGTTCGTTAAAACAATAAATTGCAGCGGAGTTTACGCAATCAGTATATAATTTTTTATGCTACATAGTGAAAAAGATACGAACAGCTGTAACTGTATCTACTCTCCTGAGTTACACACAACTCTGGTACCAGTTTAATTAAAGTAATAGAGCGCAAATAAGTGATTTCCTTAGCTATTACATGAACAAAGTATGCTATTAACTCCGCTTTAAAGGCTGCGCAAGAAGAGAATTGCATACTATAAGTTGCACCAGAATCAATGTCACTAATGTTCGAGTTTCACTTGTAAGATAAACTTTCCACTCGACAATTTATAACATGATGATAAGGCTCTAAATGTGAGTAACTATACTGAGATTTTTTTCCCTAATTTATGAAACTGAAAGAAGTAATGGAATTCAAGTTATTTAATTTCATATGTTTTAAACCGTCGATTCGAAGAAAGTTCTACAATTGACTAGTGATCTGTCCCGGTTTCGGATTGGTAGATAGGTAGAAAATAAAATAGATCATGTTGTTCGCTGATAATCTATCAAACTGTAGGTGGTTAGTTTTTTTTTTTATATTTAATTAAACTATTTAACTACATATAACTCTTATTGTGATAATTTTTCCACATTTATATGAGACTATAAAGTGATAAAATCATTTTTTGCTCCTAAATATAAATGTGGCTCCTATAAGACCACACAGGTATTAGATCAATTTAAGGAAGTTTAATTTTTGTTTTGGGTAATCGTGAGCATTAATTTAACTTACACGGAAACTGAACATGAAATAAGTTTATTTATAGTCAGAAAATTTCAGTGTATAAGACTATCTTATACACTTAAATTATCATATTTATGCATTTTTATGCTTTTATACACTCATATCCATATGCACATACATTTACATGCACACAATTCTTTATTCATCAATACATTTTGTTCATACAGTTAGTCATACGCTTTATATTTTCTTTTCTTTTCTTACAGCACCTCGCTCCGAATTTGTCGGTGCAAACCAATTGTAATACCCACTTGTCATATGTTCGTGGATAACAATTACTACGTTTAAGGCTATTGTTATTATAAATGTAAAATATTAAAGCCATATTTTAAATATACAGTTTAAATAAAATATAAATGAAAAGTAGGAATCTATTAAATTGCGTGCTCTTTTTAATTATCTATATAATTATTTTTATGAATAGCCAAACATTCAAATGACTGGTGTTACGAAACTCATTTAAAAGGATTTGTGATTACAAAATTATGTATAAATATATTTATATATACGATATTTGCGTGATGGTTTGCGGTTACAGACAATCAAATCAAAATTGAAATTATCTATTTATGTTTTTCTAGGTATCAATTTTGCAACAATCTTATTCTTGTGACTGAGTAGTATATTTGTTTAATTTATCGTTGCATCAATATATTCGATTTGTGAAATTGTTTGGAAGTTGGACGTTACAATATGCCGACCAACGCTTCAAAATTTCGATTACTTAGTTCTTGGCTGCGGTTATTATTAAATAACAATATAATTAAACACAATATTTTACATATTTTAAATAATATAGTTATTACGATACTGCTAAATCAAAATTATAAGATCTACCTAATATAATTGTGTGCATCTATGCATATAAACTAAACATATGTATTTATACTTTCCTTGTACAAATGTCAGTTATATTTTTTATTTTTTTTTTAATGAAATGATCATTTCTGTGAGCAACTACTCATCTTTTTTAATTCCATGCCTACTAGCTGCATCTCCGGTTTTATTTACATGAATTATAACAGTGTCCTGTTGTACGAGGTCTGTCCGGAAAGTTCGTATAAAAGTGTTCTGGAATGCGAGAAAGAGGAGTGGGGAGGCCAGGTAAGCGCAGGACCCCTTCCTTATGTCCCTAACAATGCTTCAGTTCTGGTCTGACCGCCGTGCGGTGCGAACTGGCTTGTCACGCCATCTGTGAAGTTACCTCTTAACGAAACCCCGTCGGCATGGAGCCCGCTTCCGTTGAAGAGCAGCGCGTCGTAATCAAGTTTCTCTCGAAACTCGGCAAGAATGGCCGTGAAATTTTTGCCGATCTCAGAACAGTTTATGGGGATGATGCTGTGAAGGAACCAACCGTCCACAAGTGGCTAAAAAGATTCAGAGAGGGCCGAGAAAGCGTTCAAGATGACCCACGTTCAGGACGTCCTTCCACTTCACATTCCGACGAAAACGTGGAAAGAATTCGAACTTGTGTTAATGGGGACCGTCGTTTAACGGTCAGACAGGTGGCTGAAGAGCTTAATTTGGGCAAAACCGTGGTCCACGAAATTCTAAGAAACGAACTTCAAATGAAAAAAATTTGCGCCAAGATCGTTCCGTGAGTTTTTGAGTAAAAATTCCATTACGGTGACCGAACACCCCCCCTATTCGCCGGATTTGGCCCCGTGTGACTTCTTCTTGTTCCCAAAAACCAAATTGGTACTTCGGGGGCGGCATTTGGGGGACATAAATGAGATAAAAAAAGCTACGACGGGGCAGCTGAGAAACCTACAACCAGAGGACTTTCAAGGAGCCTTCTCACAGTGGAAACGGCGTTGGCACAAGTGCATTATGTCACAGGGGGAGTACTTTGAAGGGGATAAAATTGATTTACCTGAATAATTGTAAAATAAAATTTTTAAAAAACTTTTATACGTACTTTCCGGACAAACCTCGTAATTCATGTAAAAAAGCGTTAATTAGGAAAATAAATTATTTAATTTAGTATTTACGAGTATATATAAAATTTTATTTCTCATTATTACAAAATTCATTATAAATTTAATTTTTTATAGGCACTTATGAGTGCAAATCTAAATTTTATACCTATTTGATACGAAATCAATGTTTTACAATTGTTAAACGTTTGGAAATGGTTGTCATTTTTATGGACCGTGACACAATATAGTATGATATATGTAACATACAACCAATTTTTTTAACGAAGCTTATAAATTTGTAAAAGTATGAAAAATTATCAAGATTTCTATGCTTTTGTTATACCTATCGGACACTTAATGTTTTAATTGATATACGAATATTTAATAAGAAGTAGGCTGAAGCACAGAATATTACGAACACATTAGCGTCTTAGATTATATTCTGTCATGCCCCTAATATTATACTTATGTCTATATGAGACTGTTATCGCTTTCTATTAGGTGGGCCGTCGGCTTGTTTGCCATTTCAATTTGCATATAAAAATGGAAATATCTAAAAGTATTTAAATTATATCACTGGAAACATTAGTGATGTAATATTTTTGACACATGATATATATATATAAAGGTTGAAATCGAAATGATAAGCGTTCTTTTATGGGAGTGTATTACCAGTCAAACTGAACATTTTTTTTTGTAGAGAAACATGCGCTGAAGACAAAAAAAATCATCATCTAATACTTAAAACAAAATGTTATCAGCTATCGAGTTAATAGGTATGGGAAGCTTTACATTTTTAGTAAAACATTTCTCTAGATAATTGATTAATTTCACAGTAACAGATGAAATCGTTACCGACGACCTTATAATCAGAAAC